TTTTTTTTTTACTAAGCTACAGACATACCGAACTGCCAACACCAAATCCCGTGTTCGTCTGTCCAAAATGACCCGTTCCAGCTCCAAATCCAGTCCCAGCATTTGTACTGGCCGCTGTTCCAAAAAGGCCTCCGGGCTGTGAGGGCTGGGTGACCCCAAAGAGACCCTACAAACAGGAACCAGGTTAAGAGAAGGCTGCGATGCTTTTCAAAGTCCAGCACTGATGGTAACAGAACTCACACACAAAGTCAGTTCACAAAACGATGCTACGACATTAACTCTTCTGCAGGGGGAAGGTGGTGAGTGAAAAGTGCTTCAGAAGCTTTAGTCATTCTCCAAGAAATTAGTTACAAAAAGGAAATTAAAAACAAAATGAAATAATTCATAGATTTCTAGGTTGGAAAAGACCTTAGAGATCATCCTGTCCAACCGTCCCTAATCCCCCATTAAACCATATCCCTAAGTAGTTCATCCCACCTTGATTCATGCTCCAAGCTTGAAAGGACATTGGAATTTCCTCATCACTTTGAGTGATGGAGATGGAAAAGAAATATTTCGCAGTGTTTTCTGGCAGAAGTCACAACATATTCAGGAAGAATATAGTATATCTGGAGCCAAAGCCCCTAGCTATGCAAGAAGTTACAGATAGGTACCATCTTTCTATCAAAAGAGCCCATGAATGCTGCTCATCAGTCACCAGAAAGTACAGAATTGTTAATGAATTCCCACAGAACGTTAACAATGGAATGATACAGTCTGTGCAAACATGATCAGAAATACTTGAACTGACAGAGAGCAGATGCTTAAGGAACGGACCGGGACGTTAGTTGCCCGAAGCTGCACTGCTCTCCGGTGATCATGAATGACAAGATTTGACTGGCAGGAAGTGGCCAGCTCAGACAGCAGCCTGCAAAGCTTTGCGTCCCAGTTCTATGAAGCTGTCCTACAATTGCAGTCAGACTGTATCACAGCCTCCTGTCTTGCTGTACCACAGCTTACACCTAGAAACGTTCGACCAATTCATCTCACCATGGTGTTGGTGTTTGGCTGCCCCAGCGTGCTGGTGTTGACGAAGGAAAAGCCGGTGTTCTGCGTCGTCGTGGCTTGTCCAAACGGTTTGTTGAAGAGACTCGTCGTTTGAGATGGCTGGCCGAAAAGACCACCTGTTGTTCCTGTCCCAAAGCCAGTCGTGCCTACAATATAGAAACACTCTGGTTAAAGAACTCTCCGGTACATATCCCAACCCATGGCGTTCCCACACTCAGCACGTTCAAACAGGAAAAAAAGATTCTTCGATTCAACGCAACAGCGGAACACCCCGTGTCATCAGCACAGCACGGCACCTGCCTTCAGACGGAAGCAGTTTGGGTCAAGGTGTTTGACCAGGTTCTCGTCCTAAAGTCGGTGTGAGTGTAACGCCCAAGGGCCACCAGCAAGTTCACCTCACAGATGGATCTGACCAAAAACACACCAGCTTTGATACGATCCGTTTGTTCTTGATATCCCTGTTCCTTGCAGGGGGGTTGGACTAGATGACCTTTGAAGGTCCCTTCCAGCCCTGCCCATTCTATGATTCTATGATTCTCCACTGTACAGAGGCAGCTGTACCTGGAGTACCTGGAAAGAGCTCGCCGGGCACGACGCAGGCAGGCAGCAAGTGCCCCACACCCCGCTTCTGTCCTACAACCCACACTGCTGCTGCTACAGAAACTTCTACCTGAACTTCAAACGCCGCCTGCCTCTCTGCCCCCAAAGGAAAAGAGCTGTTTCCACGTGGTAAAAACGGCACACGCACAGACAGGAGCTTCTGCTCCTTCTCCCAACTGCCCCTGCTGTCTCTGCACAACCAGGGGCTCTCTTTGGAGCTGGCTGCACAAGAAATACATGAAGCACACAGACCAGGTTGGGCAGTCCACGTATCTTTCATGGACCACACCTTGGTGGGGCGCAGAGCAATACGACCACCTGTACGTGGCTCCTTCCCAAGGACAGCAGCTCAGCTCAACCCACAGAGGCCTGAAGCGAGCCGAGAGACTGGACCCAGCAGCGCCCGTCACTGAGCACAGACCCAATTCTAACCTGAGACAGTCCAGCCTTTCTTACAGCACGCAATCGCTTCCGATTCTACAGACCGTAGGATTCTGATCTTCTGTCTGCATCCTAATTCCACAAACAGAAATACCTACTCACGTGTAGGTTTGCAGCTAATGAAACCAGAGTTTGTGTTTGAACTTTTCAGTGCCATTTGTTTTACCCGAAGTTCACAGAGGTCCACTAACTGGTTGGCCCAGCTGACCTGCAACTACCAGACGTGCAAGCGCTTCAGCAAACTGGTTACTTCACACCTGGCTTTTACTTTTTGACCAAAGATGCCAAAAATGCAGTGTGAAACCAGGACGGCACAACATATGACAGGTCCGTATCCTAACCCTGCTCCACGGTGGAGAAAAGCTCCTGGCAAAGTCGAGTTAGGCTACTATCAGGCAACTCGTCCATTTCCAGGGAATTTACGTTCGCTCGTTAACAGAAGTAGAATCTTGACTTCACCATTAAGCAACTGATGCCGTCACCCTACTGATCCTTAGCAATATCCTGGTGGATTTATTTCCAATTGTTGTACTTGCCCGTGTGAACCGACTGACTTTCTTGTAAAGCCAGAAGCTCTGATGACTCGTTTGCCAGCGAAACTTGGGGGATGCAAAAGAAGTTTGCAAACCCCAAAGTATAAAGAAATAGACATTTGTATGGCAAAGAATCTGATTATTGACTGTTGATAACACATCTACTAAGAGGTCTGAAGTCACACCAGTGTTTCCTTGTCTTTTTTCGTTAGAGAATTTTGAACAGCTTAACAGAATATTTGCTTATCTGTCACAGTGACAACAGGGGACAGGCAGTACTTACTGGTTCCAAAAGCAGTTTTATTCTGTCCGTACGAAAAACCTGTATTAGTGGTCGAAGAGCCAAAGAGCCCTGTAGCTGTGCTTGATGTCGCCGTGGAAGACCCGAACAGCCCTGCAGCTGCTCCTGCTCCTACAGGATTGGAAGGCCCCTTCCTGTTTGCCTGATAGTCTTCTAAACGGAGTTCCTGGAAAAGGAAAATCCAGTTCTCCATACACATTCTTTTTCCAAAGGAGAAAGTTAGAACAGTGTCATTAGCATGGTTACACAGCACTCAAGTCCACTCCAGGATGAAGGTATCAAGAAAAGCTGTAAAACCTACATTTTTAAAAAGCACATCATAAACTGCAGAGCTACATCTAAATGTAGGTCCTGTTTATGTTTGGGCTTCAATTTTACATCCCAGGGCTTTTTCAGATCTTTTCAGTAGAAGATCTGTTCTGAAGTATCAAATAAGTCAGCTTGAACGGAAAGGCTTGAGGGTTAAATCCTTGGGAACACCAGTTCCCATTAAACACCACGAGTTTTGCCCAAGATTCTGCTATTTTATTTTCTGTTTCATTTGATGACACCCCTCTTCTGTGAGTGACGCAGACATTGAAGGCTGTGCTCACACTAACGAGCAGAGAAGATACTTGACACAGCCAAAAGAAGCCCCACTAAACCAACACCAACAAACAGCCCGAGAGAAGCCTGTTTGAACGCTCGCTGACCCACCTCCAGAGATTTGCTTTCGTATTCCTTCATGGCAGTGATGCACTGGTGCTTGGTGTTGATGTTTGTGCTAACTCCAGATTTCACCATGGTGTCTGTACCAGTCGGGGGCTGCAAGAGGAGAGGGTGAGATTCCAAGTGTAAAATCCAGGCAGGCTCGTTAATGCAGTTCCTACTCTCTGGGCAGATGCTGCCAAAACCTGAATTCAGCTCAGCTCCTGTCACCTGGCCAGCTGTGGCCTCGCCCAGTGACGAGGGGAATTTACCCCAGTAACACTCAAAACAACACAGTGCCATTCGTTTTTCAGTTTCACTGGAAGAGTAGTTTACCTCCATGTGTGATGAATCCTCTAGCTACGCACGGATTCCATTATCCCCCATTGTTCAAACTGTACTGGGAAAGCACACATGGCAGCACTCGGTCTGCCCAGGTTACCATCACAGCTCTGCCTATGGCAGAAATAACGAAGCCCCAGTCTGTTAAACCAGCCCAGTCTGACGACAAAGAGGGCCGAGATTTGCACAAACAGGTATCTGGGAAAAAGAACCAGCAGGTACTGGTTACCCCATTTCCATGACGGCTTTTTTCTGAGCCACCCTCTAGTTTCAACTGCCATGAAACACTCAAGATGTTACTCAGCCCCTTCTCAAAGGGAACTCTTCCCAAAAACACAGGGGATCAGTCTTCACATTCCAGTTTACGTTTTCAAAGTCATGCTGACTTCCAGGAGAACTGCTTTTACCCAGGATGACTTTAACCCTTACTGCCGTTAGCATTCAGCATTGATCACCCCGAAATCCGTGGCACTTCCCACCTTCCTGAGAAGGCTCCATTTTAAGAGCTGATTTTCATCTTCAGCTATAAACACAGCTGTAAAACCAGCGAGTCTAGACAGAGCACCACTCCAGAGTTTGAGGAGTGTGTCAAACTCAGCAGAAAACCTCTTTCTTTGGAGTTAATGATACATCCCATTTCCACTGCGACAGTCCCACCAAAGGGGATGTTTCCAAACCATTTCAAACACTGCATGTTTGCACAGGAACTGCTCCTTTTCAGATTTCAGCTCCGTGATGAAGACAGCACTTGAGACACAGGACTGTAATAACTCCTACGTTAAACAGGCATGGTTAAGAAGGAAATCCAGAACTTACGTTGAACTTGATGGTTGTGCCGGTTGGGGCAGCGGTGAAACTAGTCGGACCAAAGAGAGAGCCAGAGGTTCCCCCAAAAGGATTGGAAGTTGTGTTAGTGGTTCCGAAGAGACCTCCGCTGCTCGTACTAGTTCCAAAGTCTTAAAAAATTAAAAAAAAAAAAGAAGAGATCAGTACTAAAACAAACTTGTATTTTAAAATTTAAACCCAAGTATTTCATTCAAATTATAAATTAGTTGGGAAATGGAAGAAACTGCTAGGAAAAAAAAATTACAGCAGTGCTGTAAACCTCTAGCCTGCTAACACAACGAGGAAGTCCGCCTCGAGCTCAGGGCACCAGGAAACACGAGAACAACCACAGCAGCCAGTTTGTTCTACTCCTGACAGAGTGGAGAAAGTCACATGTACAAAGGGAACCAGGGAGGTTTCTCTTCCCAGAAGATGTCTGCAAGCAGTTGCTTCTGCTCCGGGGAATCACAGTGGAGC